CAGCCCAAACACACACATGTGGATTTCTGATATCGAACTGGAGCGGCTGGAAATATGTGCACAAGACGTTCCGGTGTCTACGATCTGTTCCTTATCCACAGAGAGGAGCAACATGGACGACTGAACGGAGCCAGAAACGCTGCACATGTTTCCTTCATCCTACATGTTTGTTAAAGGGGCAATCAGTAAAACATGTTCTTAATAGAACATGGCCATAATGAAGAGCAGGGTCCTTTTAAGTTTTGCTGATCGGAGTTGTTCCAGCATCATGGTCATTCTTTAAACACTTAAAAAGGACCATGTTTACATTTTCCTGATAATGCAACATTAAGACAGGGTGACATTGTTTCCTGATGCAATGATATTTACAGCTTTTTAAAGTCCAAGCACTATACTGACTGATGAAGTGATATAATATTTATCATTTACAGACTGAAATAAATTTCAGTTTGAAAGGTTACTCTCACTATGACCAATAGTAAGCCAACAGTAATGAATATTAAACGGGCACATTTAGTTTTCATTCCCAAAGTGTCTATTATTTTGACATCCTGTAAATGAGACTCAACAATCAAGTTTCTTTTTTGGCTCGGATTGGTTGTTTTCATGCAGGCACAGTGGATTATTTCGGGAACAGCCATTAGGAGTTCTAGGAAGAGCCAGAAGAACCAGATTTTTTTCACAGATTGTGTGTCTCAGGTACGACTGTCAGGATATAGTGAAAGTTTCAGCAAATATGACAAGAAGTTATTTTTATAAAAATGACCTACTGCAGCTTTAATCACCCATATGTTGATCTTTTTGTCATCGCAAGTCTTTTAACTACACAGGTGGCAAATGAGAGAACAGCTGAACTGTAGGAACTGTTCTTGTAAGGTCAAACACGTATCGAAGAAAAGCAAAGACATCCTGTCTTGGTACTGGAACTGCTCACTGTGTCACACCCATTTGGTTGATGCCCGCAAACTTACATACAAACTACCATTTTTAAGGCGGTAGCACTGAAATAAATAATCAATATAGAAAAACAACTCACTGGGTTTGAGGAGGATAAAGTTTGCTGACAGAAACTTTCACTGATGGAGATATAAAATCTTACATGTTGAGGTGGACCGATTTCTGAGAATGCTTGTGTGTGTGATCTGTCAACCAGTGTGCTGTGATAAGCAGTGTGTGTTATCTCCATCTTCATGCTTCCTCCTGCATTCTCTGCACACAGGAGTGTGTGTCACACTTCATGCTATTTGGCCTCTGTGTGTGTGTGTGTGTGTGTGTGTGTGTGTGTTGGGGCTTCCCCTTCCTGTGCTGAAAAAGAAGCAGATGCTCGTCCCAGCAGGAAAATGTGTTTACACTCACACACATATACAAAACTGTGCGACTACACCCAAGGAGCACAGGCTTATACTGAGTGTGTGCGTGTGTGTGTGTGGGTGTGTGTGTGTGTGTGTGTGTGTGTGTGTGTGTGTGTGTGTGTGTGTGTGTGTGTGTGTGTGTGTGTGTGTGTGTGTGTGCGTTAAATCACTTCTACTACCAATATTCAAAGATGCTGCAGTGAAAGTCAAAGAGCTGTGGTCCTTGTGGTTCCATCTTTTTCCAATCTGTACACGTTCTTTCCTTTTTTCTCATGTTTTTAATCAATATCCACGTTGCCGTCTCACCTCAACTCCCTCTAACAGCCTTTATGCTTCACACTGACCTCATCTGTGGGGTGAAAACAGATTTTCAGGCACTCAAAGAAAGAAAATGTGGTCAGAGTTCAGTCATGAAATTCTAATATTCTGTGGACTGTCTCCCCTGATTGGCTGATGACATTCTTAGACATGACTCGGTAAGGCATGCTCTTATCCTGCTTTGCTCTGTGCGCAATGACAATGATCACTGAGTAGGCATATTTTATTATAAATTTCAGTTTTCTTCACAGAAATGAATGAAATGCTGAAATTTAAGCCTTCTACATATTTCAAAAATTTACTTCTCAATTCTTACACCCCTAAGATCAGGAAGGCCTCGCCACCCCCACTTCAGCAGAAGTCATTTCAGGTGAATGTTAGCACTGAGCTAAATAAAGTGGTTTGACCTGCTAATGCCAAGCTACACAAAGACACAAAGACACACACACACGCACGGAAACACACACAGCTAAGCAGAAGTCAATGTCAATGGCTTCAATTACCTCTTCTGGCTTCATGGATACTGCTGAATACACAAGACACAGCTGTGTGTGTGTGTGTGTGTTTCATTAGAGCGAAAGGAGACAGGGATGTATTGATGGGGTCTATCTGTGTGGGTCAATAACACACACACAAACACACACAGATAACCACAGCAGAGGATGACCTTAACCTAAGCCTGAGGAAAGACACACACACAGTCCAGACAAGGGTGTGGCCTTGTTTGTCTCCATTGGGCTGAAAAAATAAAATAAAATCAATGTTTCTGCTCACTTTAAATGAGCGCCTCACACACACACACACACACACACACACACACACACACACACACACACACACACACCCACACAAAAGAAAGGAATGCACAGCCTGAACATCATGTGAGGTGCATCATTCCTCGTATCATCGTGTGAATGTATCACTCTCATAAATCACACACACAAACAATTGTAATGTATCATGGGAAGTCAAGGTTGTGATATGATAAGAATTCATAATAGTTCGAATAGTTAGAAAACACACACACACACACACACACACACACACACACACACACACACTATTGTCCATTTCAATGGACACACACATGCACACACTATTGTCCATTTCAATGGACACACACATGCACACACATGCACACACTATTGTCCATTTCAATGGACACACACATGCACACACTAAACACACTCTGACCAACATGTTTTCTGAGGGCAGATCAGGACATTTCAGCTCGTCACTGCTGGTAGTTGATAATTATTATATTTAAATTATTGGACCATTTCAATTAATAAAAAATCAATACGAGGAGTGGAAGGAAAGGAAAAAAGCAAGGGATAAGAGAGGGAAGGAAAGAACAGGATCCAGCTGTAATTAGGCTTTTCTGTCACTCTGATAAAACAATAAAAGCGGGAACAACTGTTTTCATCCCACATACAGAAAAATAAACATTTCTGTCCTGAACTGAGCCTTCAGGCTGTGCTCCTCTCCAGC